AATATTTAACTGGTAATACATAATACATAGGTACTAATAATAAACTAATAACAAAATAACTAATATTACTAGTACGTACTTGTTCATAGCTACATTCCTACCTACCAAAAGAAGGTGTTTGAAAAATAAACACAAACTTTTATCCAGCCACAACGGCATGTCACGTAAGATTTAAAAATAGTTAATAATAACAACAAAAAAGTCATGAACATAAACATTGAAAAATAAAAAAGCACATTCAATGAGAAGGCTGATACTCAGACTCATCGATAATTTTTTTAATGTTTGCAGTATAATTTGATACAGCCATTCGAATACAATTATCCAAATGTTCATCTGTAAGTCGATTGCGATATTTGTTCTTAATAAACTTCATATTGGAAAAAGAAGATTCACACAAATAGGTTGAACTGAATAATGCTTTCACTTTCAAGGCAACACGACATAGAACTGAATATTTGTCTTTACTTACAATAGGCCAGATACATTTGGTACTTGAGACTAACGATTTTAAGGCTATATCATTTTGAAACTCAATTACTTCCATTTCTGTTGCAGCGATGTCTTCGCCAAAGTTCTGCATAACACAAGTTGCAAACTGTTGAATATCAATTTCCATAAAGGGTGAAACAACAAACTGCGCTACTAAAGCCATTTCGTTGAAATCCTTAAAACGATTTTTGAAGTTATTCTTCAGGGTAGAAACTATTTCTACATGATATTTGCTGTCATAGGGTTCTAATGGATTTTGAGATATTTTTTCTGAAAGAATAGGAAAATGCTTGGCATCGCTGTTAATTAGGTTTTGTTCCCAAAACTCCAGCTTTTTGATAAATGCTTTTATATCAGAAATCATTTCCGCTAGTTCTTTGTCTCTCCCCTGAAGCTGCAAATTAAGTTCATTTAATTTCTCTGTAATGTCCACGAGAAAACCAAAATCTCTAAGCCAGATTGAATTTTCTAGTTCCGGAGTCGGTTCATCGCGTTGTTTGAAAAATTGAACTATGCCAGATAGGACATCATTAAAACGTTTCAGCACCCGTCCTCTACTTAACCATCGGACTTCAGAGTGAAGGAGTAGGTCCCCGTATTGACAGTCAACTTCATCGGCCAAGGTTTTGAATAATATTCTTTGTAACGCTTGAGCTCTAATCTTGTTCACAATTTTTACCACCAGTTTCATAACGTTGTTTAGTTTCAGGAAATTTCCACATAACGGTTGCTGATGGATAATGCAGTGGTAACAGAGAAATTGCGGAAAAGTTTCATCTTTACGACATAACGCCACCAGACCCTTATCACAACCCACCATAGCTGGAGCGCCATCGGTTGTCAAGCCTACCATTTTCGATATTGGAATTTTCTCGGAAGAAATAATATTTTTTAAATGAGAAAACAACTCCTGTCCAGTAGTGTGTCCTTTCAGTGGAATAAACTTCAAAAGATCTTCTTTAATCGTAAAATCACTAAAAACCATCTTGACGAACACAGCCATCTGGGCAGTGTCAACGACATCTGTTGATTCATCCAGTTGAAGTGAAAAATAAACACAGTTTATCTAAGTCAGTTCTTAACTGTAAAAAAATATTATTGCTCATTACTTCTACACGTCTCATCACTGTATTAGCAGAAAGTTGCATAGATTTTATAGCTGAAACTAGCTCGTCTTTATTTCTAATGTTGGCAAATAACGAATCAACAGCTTCTAAAAACGCCTGTTTTATTATTTCCCCGTCTTCATAAGGTTTATTTTATTGTGCAATTATCTGGGACACACGGTACGATGCTTCAGTTACAGCCTTATTTTTGTCGACTCTTCTTAAAAATGTTGATTGTTGTCCAATTAACTGCTTTTTTAACTGTTTCAGTTTCTCCTTTCTGGCGGCAGAATGTAGTGGGAATGATTTTTCAAAATTAGAATGTACAATTTACTGCTACAGAACTTTTTAATCAAAATATTAACTGCCCTTATCAAAATCAACAATTTGAAAATCCATATCAGTATGACGATAATCAAAATTTATACCACACACAAGTAGATAATGACATTGGCCCTTATTCTTATTCTCCTGCAATCCAATGCTCATATGATAATAATTTCTCGACACTTGTAAATGATAACACTACATATTCTCATAATAATGACTTGGTATGTACAGATCCCACACTCTCAGCTGATGCAAGTAACTCGAGTCAGGATTTTATCCAGGCGCCGAGTTCCAGCAATCCGACATAATCTTTGTTAATGCATTAAAAGCAAATTTACCGTAAATCGAAATTCCAGAAATAACACAATATTTCTAATCGACACAGGCAGCTCAAAATCTTAAATTGATCCAAATTTTGCATATAAATATCAAAATTATATAATCAAAGAAAAATTTAATATTTAGACTGCTCATAATATTTCATATCACGATGAAGTCTCTTGCATTCCTCTTTTTAAAAATTTTTATTTGCAAGATTATCATAAATTTAATCTTTTTAAGTTTAGTAACCGATTTGATGACATCATAGGCGTAGATTTACTTATAAACAATTAAATGCAAATATAAATGTAAATAAAGTTGAAATAGTAACTAGTTTAGTTATTCCTTTAATTTTGGACACAGACATTCATGACAACCAACAAAATAATTATTCACTGACTATTCCCGGACGTTGTAGATAGTAAAATTACCGGTAAATTTAAAAAATGGTTTAGGCGTACTTGACTATAAAATTTTAGGAAAAGGTCTTGAGATGCCTTAATCTTTGGTAAATGTAACTAACAATTTTGCTATAACCACTGTCACTAAATTTAAATGAAAATCCTATAAAATTAGATATTTTTGAACCTTTTGATAGTCAATTTTCTAGACAAAATGGAAGTCGATTCAGATCCGAATTATGATACTTTTCATGATAATAAGGCCTCTTCTATTATTTTGCAATCTACTTGCACCTTTCATATCGACATAATTGAAAGAGTACAATGTAAATTTGTAAAATAACTGCTTTTTAGGTACGGATTCTATAACCTTAACCCATAACACGTGCTAACAAACAAGGTTATTGTTTTGTAGCAAACAGAACACCCATAAATGCTTGATAGCGAATATTTTATTCAGAGATATTTCTGCTTTTCCCTTCGATATTATAACTGTTTATATCAATAGATTCAATTAGTTTATATATAACGGGACGAAACTGATTTCTGGCAACGCTGCAATTTCCCAGATTTCCTCAATTTTCCTCCAAGCAACTTTCAACTTCTTAAACCCAACATTAAAATATTAAAAGCCATATTTCGACATTAATCCCTGCACTTGTTATATCCTTCTTCCCAGAAAATTGATTTCTCTCGGTTTCTTGAACTTCCTATCTTCGTCATAATCATTGTCGTTCGGCTCTAGTGAACATTTAATGCAATATTCAGAAAATTTCCCCCCATAATGGACATTGAAACGAACAAATAAGCAATTACGGCGGAACAGTGGAAATTCGAGGGTTTGAGTTTTCTTGACGGCGAGACTCGGCAGGAGAACTCCTCCTCGAGGAAATCAATATTCAGCGTGGATGAGTCACGTCGAGCTAGAAACTCGACAGGCTGAGCCAGAGACGGCGGAGGAAAGGCATTAAACTCGGATAATATTAAAATGTTTGTTCCAATATATTTGAGGGTTCAGATAGAACATGATAAGTTCCTATACAGTTTTTTCTAAGGTTCCCTGTAATAAATCAAGATGGTTATGCGAAGCATTAATTAAAACTATATTCATATCGTTTGTATAAATGTAAATCAAAAGCACAAATTACAATTAAATGTTTTGATAAATATTTTTCCTACGACCACTTAGGAAAGTGACACATATCACACTATATAGTCCTATGGAAAGTGCCCTATATCACACGCTTATGAATAAGAATTTGCTACTTTCCGCATCAGCTGTCACAAAATGTTAAACGCATCATTTCTATTTTGATCTATGTAATGTCCATATTAATACTAAAATCGATATGATTGTTAAATTATTGAAATTGTTGTAAATTAGATCCTAGATATTTATCTTTAACAATTATTTTTAAAATAACTAAGTTATGTTTGCTTTTTATTCTGGTTAAACACATATCCAATTAGACCATTCAATCGACGCAAGGCCTATTAGCTCAGGTGGTAGAGTATCAAACTTTATCAACTTTGCCATTTGAGACCTGGCAAGCGTCCGCGTTCAAATCCTTGCAGGGGCAGAATTTTTTTTGTTTTTTTTTTGTTTTTTAGTTTTTTTTTGTTTAGAAATAAATACGATTATAGTTGATTATTTTTTTAAATACATTTTAATTATTTATAATAATCTGGTTTTACATTTTTTTATGAAATTATTTTGTGGTCGTAGGAAAAATATTGTACGTCACTTGTGTGAAAAGTGATTTTCCACACTCGTAATATAATATACTATTTAAGAAATAATTTTTAATTTTACCCGCAATATATTGTATTAAAGATTTGAAATACTTTCAAACACTTAAAGATAAATATTTCCATAGTGCACAGATGCTGGAATGTCAATTTAATTGATTTTAAGCTGGGAGTAATAGTTCTCAAAAATCTCTTGAAAAACTTTTTCTAAAATCTCATCAAAAATCTTTTAAAATTTCTTTTAAAATCTCTTCTAAATAGTCTTCTAATATCTGTTTTAAATATTCTTATACAATATTTTCGAAAATCTCTTCTAAAATCTTTTCTAAAATCTCTTCAAAAAAATTTTACAAATATTTTTTGAAATATATTATAAATGCTCTTTTAAGAGCTCTTCTAAAATCTCTTCTAAAATTTATCTCTTCTAAAATCTATCTTTTCTAAAATCTCTTCTTCTAAAATCTCTTCCCTTCTAAAATATCTTCTAGAATATCAAAATATCTTCTACAATATCTTCTTAATTTGTTTTTTTAAATCTCTTTTAAAATCTCTTTTAGAATATCTTTTAAAACCTCTTTTAAAATCTCTTCTAAAATCTCTTTTATAATATCTTCCAAAATCTTTTCCAAAATTTATCTTTTCTAAAATCTATCTCTTCTAAAATTTCTAATAAAATCTCTTCTAAAATATCTACAATGTCTTCTACAATATCTACAAAATCTTCGAAAATCTCTTCTAAAATCTCTTTTACAATATCTTCAGCAATATCTTCTAAAATATCTTCTAAAATATTTTCTAAAATCTCTTCTAAATTATTTTCAAAAAAAACTTTTGTAAAATCTTTTCTAAAATCTTTTCTAAAATCTTTCCTAAAACCTTTTCTATTTTTCAAAGAAAAAAAGCCATAGTCTTGTCTAGTTGTAACAAACTCCCTAAATACACTTTTAGCACTAAAAGACATATATATATATATATATATATATATATATATATATATATATATATATATATATATATATATACCTTAGTCACTCACCCTAGTCACCTCATCTTCAAAAAAATCAATGAAAACAAAATTGTCAAATTTTCAAAAAACATAAATTTTATTAACAAGATATAGATTTTGTTAATAATAAAAAAATATATTGCCCTTTTTTCTCCATTTAAAACTTCTCTTACTTTAGAAATTTGGCAACAATGTGTGATATTAGCGGCTTTAAATTAAACGCGTTATCAATGACGTGCAACGAAACGTTATCATATCCTGACACGTAACTCAATATTGACGCAGTTTTTTTTTAACAGAACAAGACGCTCGAATCCCCACACTCAGTGCAGTTAATAAACGATTCTAAAACAAACGAAGTTTATGTCGGTTATGCTTAGAAACCGGAGGAAGTTATTGTGTCAACAAGAACAAGCTAGTGGAGAGAATAGATTAGAGTCGTCTGAATATAGCCCGTGTTTAACTTAATACATATTCAGTTCTTGAAGATTAATTAAGATTCATTTGGCAATTAAGTGTCGAGAATATTAACCCTGCGTACACTATGGCTCTGTTCTAGAAAGTTTTCAGATGGTATTATGATGGCATTATTCACTGATACGTGGCACGTCTACGATTTCGGATAGCTTTGGGCTTTAATAAAGCGAGATCGTTTTTCTAGTCTTGGATAATTTAAAACTTTTTTTGTATTATGAAACACAAACAAAAAAGAAATATTCTGAGTACATGCGAATTGGTAAAATTTTTACAATTTCGTTCTTTTTTCCATTTTCTCAAATTTTTTTCACTTTTTAATATATTCAGGAAATAGCTCAATACCATTAGAATATTATAAAAGCCAATTCGCATAAATTTATTGCCTATTAAGCTTGTCTTGCATGTTGAAAATTTCACCTTTGCCTTAAGAATTTGAATTTTCTCTTCCTTAATTATTTAAAGGTTCCGCGTCCATAAAATTTTGGAAACCGCTGATCTAAAACATGGATCTGTATCGAAATTCATCTCGTCATTCTTTATCCTTGAATGCTGACAGAGCCTTAAAGTTTCCTCAAACGTATTTCACTCTAAATCGCTTTATATTCACTACAAGGATCTTCCATGGCGGTTTAACATTTCGGTGAAAATGCAGAAACTATGCGGGCATTTAAAGAAACTTTATCGCAACCACCCCGAATGATGTGTTACCTGTCGCCTAGTAATATTAATGTGGCTTGCGGTCGAAATACCCAGGAAGCAATTTATTTGATAAATAGAGTCTTTCATTTGTCTCTAGAGAGTCAATGTACTTGTAAATTTTGATGATTAGTTAGAAATATTAAAAAAAAATAAATAAAACAGTATTGATCAGTAGTTAAGCAGCACCGATTCAGTCTCATTCCCCATGTTAATTCCCGTAAGGAATCGCCAAGGGCCAACCGACATTCCAGAGGCGTACTAGAATAATTTACCCCTATAAAAATCACATATTTGGTTTAAATCATTTATTTTTTTGTCTCATACATAATTAATCAGTTTAATTTGACAAATCGTGTTAATACAAAGTAATTAAATCCAATTAGAACGTCTGCTAAGCTGTAGTATCCCCATGGTAAAGTATTACAAGATTCAGGTACCAAGTAGCGTTTATCATCGTAGGGTCTAAGAGTGATTTTCTGCTGAGTCATTGAATAAACTTGATGTTTGTCTGAACGAATTAAATTCTGCTAAAAAATCTTATCTGTAAATGTCTCCAAACAGTTTACATCATTTTTAAAAGTTATTATAGTATTAATTATAGATTTTTTCACACCCTTTGCTTTCTTAATTAATCCAATGTTTAACAAAATTTCTTCAATTTAATCAGAGTCATATTCTGTTTCTGTTTTAAGCAATAGCATCTTTAGTTTTAACATTTTTTACAGTATATAATTTCAAACGAAGACCAATAAAATCAGTCACTGGTATACCATTGTTCTCATCTTTCATCATACCTAGTACTTTTTTATTAACTTGAGGAATTCTGTAAACGTTATTTAGTGAATAGTCTGAAGTATCAAAATATTGGGTACTATCCCGTTTTATAATTTCCTGTGAATCATGATCTCGAATTTCATAGATTAGACTGTCCGTATCCGTGTATAGAATGAAACAATTATTTCGAAATTCACTTTTCATGTACCCATAATGAAAGACAAATAGTTGTCTTAGCCAAATCCAAAATTATCATTCCAATATAAATAGGTTTGTTTAAAAATATCTCTAGTTTGTGTAATGCTATGGTCACTACATTTTCATTGATTTTCATGATTTAAATTCAAGTTTTAATATCATTTCTTTGGCACCATAACGCCTCTGCCATTGATGAATTAATTTCACATTAAGATATTTCCTCACACTTTCAATACTTTTACCAAAGATGGCATTGTTCATAAAGAAAGGAGTCATGCCATATAACTACTTCGATTCATTTGAACGATTTAATGAAATATTTTATAATACATTAGAAAACAAGCCATGTTTACGTAGAATGTACCTTCGTGTCCAGAAATTTGGAGCAAGTTTTGGTGTCGTGACCTTGGTGATTACGTAGATTCTTACATGAAAACGGATATTTTGCTTTTAGCTGAGGTTTTTGAGCAATTTAGATCAAGTTCTCATAAAAGTTATGGTTTAGATCCCGCACAATAGTATACCCTATCTGGGTACACTTGGATACATTATGTAAAGATAAACTGGTCAAAAACTGGAACTGCTAACTGATCAAAGTATTTCTCTTCATTGAAAAGGGAATACGTGGAGGTTTAAATCAAGTCTACTCAAAAAGAAGAGTCCATGCAAACAATAAGTACTTACACCACTATGATGTGTCAAAGCCATCCAAATATTTGATGTACTATGATGTTAATAATCAATAATATGGATGGGCGATGTCGCAATATCTACCTTATGGAGGGTTTAAATGGGGGTAGATTCTAATAGTGATATTATGTCAATGCATAGGGTATATTTTAGAAGTTGACTTAGAATGACCTAAAGAACTTCACAACGTTTATCAGAATTTACCCTTTTTACACAAACACTTTAATCCTGAAACTTTGAGCCATTGTAAAAAAAACCTAAATTAATGGCAACATTACAAAACAAAGAAAAATATGTGATCCACTATATAAATTTAAAACGCGATAAAATATGGATTAAAGTTAACAAGCATTCATGGAATTATAAAATTTAACCAGTAAATTTTAATACTAAACTGAGAAAAAATTCGAAAAATGAATTCGAGAAGAACTTATATAAACTTATGAACAACGCCATCTTTGGTAAAAGTATTGAAAATATGAGGAAATATCTTAATGTGGAAGAGGCGTTATGGTGCCGAAACAATGATATCAAATCCTGAATTTAAATCATGTTCAGTATTCAATGAAAATTTAGTGGCTATAGAATTACACAAACTAGAAATATTTTTAAACAAACCTAAGACAACTATTAATGACTTCCCTCATGGGTACATGAAAAGTAAATTTGGAAATATTTGTTAAATTTTATACACGGATACGGACAGTCTAATCTATGAAATTCAAGATTATGTTCCATATGAAATTATAAAACGTGATTGTACTCTATTTTTGGTACTTCAGACTATTCACTAAACAGCGTTTACGTAATTTCTCAAGTTAATAAAAAAAGTACTAGGTATGGTGAAAGATGAGAACAATGGTAAACCAATGTCTGATTTTATTGGTCTTCGTTCGAAAATATTTACTGTAAAAATTGTTAAAACTGAAGATGCTATTGTAACGACTTAAAACAGAAGAAGAATATGACTTTGATGAAATTGAAGATATTTTGTTAAATATTGGATTAATTAAGAAAGCAAAGGGTGTGAAAAAATGTATAGTTCATACTATAATAACTTTAAATATAAATATAAACTGTTTGGAGACATTTACAGATAAGATTGTTTCGCAAAATTTAATTCGTTCAGATAAACATCAAGTTTATTTAATGACTCAGCAGAAAATCGCCCTTAGCCCCCTACGATGATAAACGCTACTTGGTACCTGAATCTTACAATACCTTACCATAGGGACACTATAGCTTAGCAGACTTTCCAACTGGATTTAATTAAATACTTTGTATTAACATGTTATTATGTAAAATTAAACTGCTTAATTATATATGAGAAAAAATAAATGATTTAAAACAAATATGTGCTTTTTAATCCTAATAAGTTAAATATAAATAAAGTAAATAGAAAGGGGTATTTTGCTAGTGCTCTCCTGATATTTTAAAATTAAATAAATTTTAAAAAGGGGTAAATTGTTCTAGTACGGCACTGGAATTTTGGTATCAAAAATTACCACGTTGGACTTTAGATTTTCTTATGGAGATTTACATATAAAAATGGTCGATAAGTTAAAAAGAGAGGGGTATTTTTAAATTACTATAAATTTTAATGAGGGGTAAATTGTTTTAGTACGCCCCTGGAACATTGGTATCAAAAATAACCAAGTTGGACCTTGGCGATTTTTTATTGGAATTAACATGGTGAATGAGGCTGAATCGGTGTTGCTTAACTACTTTGGTCATTTTGTGTATATATAGTTCCTAACTTTTTTATTAAAAGAAAGCTTTTGAGAAAGAAACCAAAATATTTTAATGTTCTTTAATTTGTCAAATAAATCGCCTTTGTAATACTTTAATATCTTTCAACTCGTTCAATTTCATGACACATTGTTTAGTAACAGCAAGTGTGTGCTTTTGCTGATACACGCTCGGCAAAGTAACGCTCAGAATACTCTTTAGTCTTTATATATTAAATTTGTCAGAATTTTCGAAAAGCTTTCTTTTCGACGATGTCTGAGCACTACACCATCCGCAAATTTTAAATGGCGCCGAGCTCTAAAGAATTTTATAAGAAAACATTTATTTTACAGATAACACTGAGAAGAATGCATCTCGGTTGATATTGAAATTAATAACGTATTTAATATCGAGATAAATGGGAATTAATTATAAAAAATTAATTAACAGTATAATTGAACAGTAATGTATTAAGGGGGGGAGTAAATTTTATATATTTTTTTTTAATTTCTTTTATATTTTATTTCATGAATGGAAAACCCTTTAAGAATATTGTGTGAAAATTTGAGATGAATCAGAACAAAACTAACGAAGATACAGCGGTTTGAGTAACCGCGCCTCCTACATACATGACTCAGTGCATCAGAAAATATCTGCCCGGTTCCCACCAAAATGAAAATTCTTACGAGTTGTGAGCTTTTTATTAAAAAAAAAATATGCTAAAAAGTCATACAAATAAAAAAATAAAGAATAAAAAATTGTAATTTTTGAAAAAAATATAATAAATCATAACTTCAAAAATCAGCATTGAGACTCCGTAAACAAAGTTTACAATAACCCTGTCCAAAAATATACAGAAGACATTTTTTGGACTAGGCCATTGGTTATTAAGGATTAATCTACAAAAAAAAATTCGAAAGTGGCTATTAAAAATGTCTTGTATTATCATTCATTTTTTCTTCTTTTTAAGTATTAGTGTTGATTTATTTCAAAGTCTACCCAGTATACTTTATATTCATTGTTTGTGAATCAATCTTCACTATAATTAAATAATAATCATTGTTATTCAACATTAACCCTGTGATAAATATGTTTAATTAATTTTCCAATTCGATGGAAAGGATTTAAAAGAGACGTAACCTTCAATAACAAACAACGTTGTGCGAGAATTAATGTGTTTTCTCTCCCAATTATATTCCATGAATTTTCCATGTTGGGGAAAATGATTTCCTACATGTTGCGGCAATTTTAATTACGATTGAAACTGTCAAGTAAATGATGCATTTGTGGGTTACCGCCTAAATACAATTTACGAATGGAAATTTTTTATATAAGGTGATGAACAATGGAATTTTATTTTTAGAGATTTTGTTTTCCACTGTTGTGTTAAATTCGTTAATGAGTTGGAACTATTAAACAGTTATTAGAGTTGAAAATATAATTAATAGACAGTAATTTTATGCCAAGAATGTGTGAAGAATCCTGACAGAGGTGCTATATCGTCGCCCATTTTTGCAACTTTTCAGGAGAGCGATTTTGGAAATTTTGTTCTAACAAAAATAGAGCGCAGGAGAAGATAGATACAAAATAAGATTCCCTTTGAAAAATTAAAAAATGACATTGGTTTTCAAAACTGATATATTCAATTAAATCAATAAAACAAGAACATCAAACTGAAACTAAGTGTATGCATGTCTTCAGTCTTCAATAGAAGATATTGCTATACTTTTTTTTTTAATACGTCATCCCTGTCCTCATGTTTCTTTAGCTTCGCGTATGTAGAGGCTTCTTCAACGTCTGCCAATTCGATGAAACATAGTTTGAGAGATAATTTCCTGCTCTGGTATTTCATCTACTACAGTTTCATCAGCTTCTGCTCTTATTGTTAAAAGATCACAGACGTGGAATTTTGATATTGACAATGTTTGATATATCGTAGAGATAAAAATCTGTACCAAAGACATTTATATTTGCTCTTATTTGTAAATCGTGTTTGTTGTTTGTTCAGGACTTACACCACTTTTTGAACACATCCCGATCAAAATTATATTAATACAGCTTAAACGTTAGTACCCTTATCAATAATCGTGTATATTTTATTCCAATAAATCATCTACACTTGCAGTAATACTGCACACATCCAATCGTTCAATATATAATTTATAGAATTTCCGAAATCAAATGATGCAGATTTAATTACAAAGAGATTAACCGAATTCGAATTCATAATGAAAGGATTTATTGGACGGACGGATAAATCAACAACATTTAATTTCGTATTTGACAGTGATTTCGTACTGCTACTGCATACGTAGTTTGTGTTTAGAACACTTTGCTGATTAAATTTTAAAAATTAAAAAGATGTAGAGGATTTTTAAAATAGCGTCACAGGTCAAAACATTACGCTGTTATTATGGTTTGAATTTGTTGAAGATTTTTAAAAATAATCAGCAATTTAAAAAAAATACTTTTAAATTTTATAGTCCTTCCATTATCAATTGCAGAACACAGTTATGTGGGGAATCATCAATATTTAATATATACGCACGGTACTCATGCCAAATTAAGAAACGAAAAATAATGTTTACTGCCCTTATACAAAGCGGTAAATATTGAACCATCAGTTGTTTACCAATGAAAACATCGAATCGTAAACTTAAATGCACTGTATTGGCCGAAGGTTTACGGAAGGCAGGTGTTCGAAAATATTCCTGGAAG